AATAAATTTCAGTCCTTGAGCCCTTTTATTCTTGCAACCCATGTATTCTTTGGTTCAATTCAAGTCCTTCACATTCTAAATTATTCAATTTAACCTCCAAACATTTCAATCTTCGATTCACGGTCCGAATCAGCTATTGAATTTTTACAACTTGGTCCCCAACTTTTGGATTTTGCTCTTTTTTGCTTCATTCCTTCAATTCTCTTTTTATTCATAGAATTTACCTATTAAAAATAAGAAACAAAAATTTAGAATATAATTTGTCAAAAGAACAATCAAATATCTTTATTTTAAGGTATCGAATAAGTGTATAAAATACAATTATCATATATTATAATGTTATATTAGAGTCAAAATGGTGGAACAAATAGGAGAGGAGATAGAGGTTGGATGAAGCTCTTTGTATAACACTTTTTGGTGCTGTACATGTACAACACAATCCGGGCCATTTTTTTTATTGGCACGAGCCTCCCGATGTGAGAGTGTTGTGAACCTAGCTGTGTGTTATTTTGTGCACACAGCTTAGTCCAGGCGATACATTTGTGGTCCATACTTAGATCTCTTTGTACAATTCTGTTTTACTCTTTATGCAAGTACCCCTGTACCATTTTTTATACCATTTACCCATGCCTATCATTTTCCTAAACAAATTGTTTATGAATTCGATAAATTTTATTTTTAGGCAAGTTGCATTGGTTGATTGAACAGTGAAAATATTTGCATTTGGGTGGAATTTGTGGTGGACATTTTAGTTTCTTGCTATTTTTAAATTTTGAGTACTAAATGAACAAAATTGGATGATGGGTTGCACTTCAGTAAAAAAATTCCCGATAAATTTAATTTTAGGGCAACTGAAGCTCTTTGTATAACACTTTTTGGTGCTGTACATGTACAACACAATCCGGGCCATTTTTTTTATTGGCACGAGCCTCCCGACGTGAGAGTGTTGTGAACCTAGCTGTGTGTCATTCTGTGCACACAGCTTAGTCCAGGCGATACATTTGTGGTCCATACTTAGATCTCTTTGTACAATTCTGTTTTACTCTTTATGCAAGTACCCCTGTACCATTTTTTATACCATTTACCCATGCCTATCATTTTCCTAAACAAATTGTTTATGAATTCGATAAATTTTATTTTTAGGCAAGTTGCATTGGTTGATTGAACAGTGAAAATATTTGGATTTGGGTGGAATTTGTGGTGGACCTTTTAGTTTCTTGCTATTTTTAAATTCAGAGTTTTTTTCCCATTCTTATAAATCAGTCACGGATTTCTTTTTTGCTTGAGGAAAACTAAACATCTAAAGCAATAGCATGCATGCACTGTGAATCTTCAGTGAAAAGATTTTACCACTCTCGTTATGATCAATGTGTTATGGGAAAAAAAAAAAAGCCAAGAGACTTTTGTGTATATTTTATTAAGAATCAAAGCTCTATATTTATAAAGTAGAATTGGGGATACAGTAGTAATAATTTCTAAGATTGCGGGGATACAATTATCATTTACTAATAAACCTTAATAAATTTATCATTTACAACTCTCCTCCTTGAATGATACATTACTAAATACTGCCTCGTTAAAACCTTATTTGATAAAAATCTAATGTGATTAAAAAATTAAATAAAAAAAAGGGTACAGTTATTTTAGAATATTAAAAATAAATGCAACCTCATTAAAATTTTGTTGAGAAAATCCAGTGGAATAAAACTTATGCAAAGGAAAAATAGTACAGCTCATGGAAAGAATATATATATATATATATATGTGTGTGTGTGTGTGTATATATATATATATATATATATATATATATATGGAAGTGCCAAAATTCATGTTGGTTATTCGGGAACCCTTTTATACTTTCTGCATTTAAACCTAAGGGACGACAGCTTAAGGGACATCTTCAAGAGGATTTTAGTGTTGGAATTAATAATTCCATATGTGGGCTTCACATTCAATTGTAAAATTTTACGGGTTAGATATATGACTCATAATAATAATTGTGTTTGGGCCAAATTTATTAAGTGATCAATTGGGCCTTCTACACCTTATGGGTTGTAATTAATTTGATGTGGTAATTTAAAGTATGTGGGCCGAAAATAAACCCTAATTAGAATTCTAGTCGTAATGGGACGGCTCAAATTATTTCCTATATATAAAGGCTAGGTCCCCTCTCCTCTCCATATGTTTTATTAGCTTGCCCCATTGATAGCTAATACTTTGTGAGGAGTAAGGAGGGAAAGATTTTGAACGCTATTATAACTATTATTCATATCAACAATGGCTTTCACAGGTATGAATTGATTTATCAATTTATTATTTTGTGATTCTTGATTCTTAGCATGATTGAAATTAAATATTAACAATTGGTATCAGAGCCTTTATTTTAAGATCAGAATCCTTCGAAAATAAATAAATATTCCTTCAAAATTATTTTGAACTTCTGTTAAACCATGTCCCCTTTTGAGATAAAGAATTCTTCAACCCTCCAACGCCCTCAAATTAATCCGTCAATTTTGATTTAAGGCTTCAAAAAAAAAAATTCTTGATTCTACCATGAATTTGGGACTGATTGTCATCCAGTCTAATATGTTGATTTGATTTATCTCTTGAAATTGGGAACTGAATTTATGAATTGTTTCTCCTTTATCCAAATCACGTGTTTCCTTCTGACACATTGATGGAATGTGACAAATTTTTTTTTAAAATTCTGTTAAATGGTCACTTTTTACAATTGTATGCATTCGTCCTTGAATTAAGGTATTGGGTGGCTAGCATATACATGTTATCCACGAAACTGCCAACCCATTATATAAATATTTAATTTGGATTATTGAACCAATTAAGGTTTTGGCGTATTGTTATTCCGGTGGCCTATTTCATATTGGCTCCGGGCTCCAGAGCTGGAAACAAAATAAATAAAAAGGGAACCCAGCTCTCTGTTCTCTATCTTTTACCTCCTGCAACCACCATCTTTACTTCCTACTTCTTACTAAAGATGAAGAGATTTGTGTATTGAATTTAAAAACCTTGATTTGGTTATTTTCATGTCCCTATCTTCATCTTGAATTGCTTGTTCCTTGTTTGAAAGCTATTCTATGATGTCCATTGTCATTGCCTATACATACAACGGTTATACATATATGTGTGTATATATGTGTATGAGTGTGTTTAATTCTCTCTCATTGAGCAGACTCATTTTTGGGTGAATTTGTATCGAAAGCGGGGCAATATTATCGATAATTTGAGGTTTTATTTTGCTATAGGATAAAGGTTTTGTATTCTTGAATATATACATTGAATTTCAATGGATTTGAGGCTTGTTTCAATGGCTGTGGCAGATTTGGGGATGGGGGCCTCTCTTGCAAATTATAAGTTTTAAGGCCCCCGTCTGCAATTAAGAGATTGGTGTGTATTGAAATTATTTAAAAGGGGGCC